CTCTTGGAATGTAAATAATCCGTACATTGCAATACAATAACATAAATGATAACACACACCAACTTCCATTTAATGATAATTTAATTTAATAATTATTATATTGTTTATTTTATTATTTAATAGTAACATGATAATAACCTCTTTACTATAACGATGTTATTTTCTTACGGCGAAAAATGCCGAAATTGTTACGACAGGCTTAAGCAATGCTTACGTCAGGAACATCCTGTGCTTAAAGATAAGCATCTGTTTCGATTCTTAAGCGCGACTTAACTTGCGGTGCAAACCAATTCCGTCTTTTAAGAACTACTTAAAGCTAAGTAGTACTTATTTACGTCAGTGCAAACGGGCATGAGTGTTAGAAACGCGTTTTTAATTTCTCATTACGCACATTATATATAATTTCATTTCAATTTCTCTTTGTCTGGTTGTCACTCCTGACTCCTGATTGGATACGCATCTCCACTGTTTCCTAATCTAATCTTTGCATTTCCCTAAAACTAGAACATCCCACATGTGTCATTATTTGCCAACAATAATCTAATCTAGGTCTGCCTGTACCCCAGTTAACCACTATTTCTGCTTCCAATGTCTCTAACCATTAACCCTTCACGCCTCAGAAGATATAGTTGGCATAGTCCGCAATAGAACTGTGGCATTTACTTTCTTCTTTCTACTTATTAACTAAACTAGTGTTACAGAAAAAGGAACAACATGACACCAACTGATGTGTAAGAAAAAGAAATGCAGACAAGCAGAATTTGAGCATGTTGCCGGCATTGGACTTTAAGAAAAGTTCTACATTCTCAGGAATTTAGGAAAGCAAAGACTCTTGTTGAAAAATAGCGGACCCTAACAACCTCTTACCGCTGCAACATTTACTATTAGTCGGTTATCTCTTTTCACTTTGTATGCACTACTCATAAAGCATTTCCTAATTTAACAAGAGCATGTTCAAAACGCAACAAATAACTACAGACCGAAGTGAAACAAAAAAGAAGATATGACCATTCTCACAGATAATTTTTTGCGGACTATGCCAATTTTAATCGTCCGAAGTTTATCTCGCCTATATTATCGACTTCAACTGCGCCCTCTGTTCTCCTTCCCTTTCTAACACCTTCTTATTTCTAACCTTCTTTATCCCCGGTATCCTCATCATTCACCTGTGACACCACATTTCGAACACTTCTAACCCTTTTTTCCGCCGCGCCCACCGTCCACATTTCGTACCCGCACAGAGCCATGCTCCAGACATGGAACAATCTTTTTCGATTTTCTAAATTAACCATTCGCAAGCTTAGAAATGACTACTATATCTTCTGTTTTATATCTCCACTGCTCCTTCCATCCTGAATTATGACTTCCTAGGTGGGTAGCAAAAATCAGCCACTTTTTCTCATTTCCATTCGTCTCCTCTTTTATATTGACTGCAAGAAGCCCTTTCCCTTTTCCATTTTATATTGGTCACGTAATATTATATGAAAAAACAAATTTAATGATGTTTAAATCCTTTAGACCTTATTTAAAGTCAGGATATAAGACGGATAGATTTAATACAATACTCATGTAAGGAAAATAAAGTTTGACACGATTCCGCATTTATTTCTGAAAGCTATTCATGTCTTTGAATGAATGCGACCGACCTCTTGAGACAAATTGGTCGGAAGTAATTTTGAGTTGTACAGCTGCCGCCGCGACGCCTCGAAGTTGAACTTTGAAATTTCACACAGAAAAACCGAGTAATAGTTTCACTCGCAGACTTCACAAACTAAACTGCAATATCATGGCAATCTTCTTTAGATATTCCGTCGCTTTTGGGAAATAGTTCGGGGCTTTACTTGTTAAATGTGTTTTATTTTAAGCTTTAGCGAATTAGACTTATTAAACGGTTCCAGACTGCAAGTATTAGATACATCTATATATATATATATGTACGACATAGAATGAAAGAATGTCCCAGTGATTCAAAATCATCCCTTAGCTCATCTCCCTACGGCTGAAAATTAATTAAAATTGTGCTCGCGTTTTATACTTTGTGATACCGACTTACTGTTAAAGCTGTTCATTATACACGTAATAAACGCATATTCGAGCACAAAAACTCTACCAAATATCTCATGAACACATTTATTACCTTATATTCCCCATAAAATGTAAAAGATAAATAACAATCTCAAGGGTGTCCCTTAATTGACTAAAAAGTAAAGGTAGTATTTAAATATGGTTAACTAATTCCTAATAACCACCTTTCCAAGTACACTCCATCTGAAGAAAATCGTTAAGATACAGAAAAAATAATTTTAAAACTGTTAAAGTTTGTACCTTCAGTATTTCAAAAATGAACCAAATATACTTGTGGTGACATCTATATGTCAATAGCAAAATAAGATCCAAAACAAGATAAAATTACCCATTCACTTTCTAGATTTCTGTTGAGTATTTGATAAGTTTCTACCAGAGACATCTGCTCTTTCTTAACTTCACTACTTCACATAAACATAACCATAGTTATAAGTTAATAAATATACACAAGTTAATAAATATACACATAGGTATACATATTTTAAATTTTTTTAAATGGGTTTACACGAGAACGGGCTTCCGGATCCTCCAGAAGACCTCAATAAAAGTTTATCGGTTAACGAAAATATCTTCATTGGAGAGGATTCCGGTGAATCTGAAGATGACGATCAACTCGTAACTAATGTCTTACACGATTATCAACCCCTTCCGTTGGGTCCAGATGATGTGAATGACAACAGTTGCGAAGAGGAAGAGGAAAACGACAATCCTCAAACGAACGTGAATTCCCCTTTTGAACAGGTCAGATTTACTTAGATTTTGAATAGGTCAGTATTTTTATCAATAGATCAAATTAATAATTTAAAAAAGAACCCTTTACTTATCTTGGTAGATCATTGGAAATCAGATTCTCCCTACAACATCAACGGCGGAGTCGGACGTTATAAGAGCTGTTTGGTCTGAACCACCTAAAGGAGATGCAGGAATTGATTTGGATAGCAACAAGATTGATGAAGTCAAGCGAGCTATGCTAAACATTACTCTTCCTCAAAGTGCAATACCGGAATGGGCTAAGACAGTACCAGAAGACCAATGGAAAGAACATTTACTTAATAAAATTCAAAATAATGATAGACATTAGTTATATTGAATAACATACTTTCACCTGCATTAAAATAATTGTATATCAAACAATTAAACAAACAATGCATTCCTTAATTAAAGTATTTATGAAATGTATACATTAATAAAAATTTTATTTATAACTAAAATTATTTATTTATGACTTCTATTACAATATGTGCTTATTTCAATATGGTATCTTGGCTAATAGACAGATAGAGCAACGGCTAAATGAGGAATGATTAGCAGAATTCAATGCTAAAAACAAATCTTTCAAATTCATTTTACCTAATTTCAATTTCGAGATATTTTTGAAAATCTAAAATTTGCCGATTTCAATTTTTCCGTTTGTCTGGATAACGCTTAATGCACCTGCTTTTAATCTTTTACATTGTTCAAGATTTTTTAGGGCAAATTTGATGGTGTTAACAGGAAACCCCGATTTTCATTTATTTCCAAGTTATTTGTCATATTGGATTTTTAGTTAATTAGATAGCCTGTAAAATGGGTTTTTCAAGGATGTATAACATACCTAATAAATTTGTATTTACAGGATATTTATTTGTTCGATTTTATCAAAGACGTTTACAAGTATAGTTAATTATATAATTTTATGTTAGTTTGTATATTTGTCATTTTTAATTCTAAGTTATTCATAGTCATGTTCGACCATTTGGGTCATTTTACAACTCAATTCGCAACCCTCATCTGGCTTTCCCAAATTAAGGTTGTTTTAGTCGTCTCGTTCTCTATGTCTATTATGTTACAAATATATCTACTTTCTAGCTATTTACTTCCACATTTATTTAAACACTTAATTCAATCAAACAAGTCAGTCAGCTCAAATCATTCGTTACATTTTCAACCCAATCAAGTCCTTGTACATTTTTTCATTTAATATTTTCATTGTATATATTTCTTCG